ATCCAAGGAATAAGTCCCCAAAAGCGGGGCCACATCAGGAGACAATGGGGTGGGGACGATATTTGTAGTAAGACCCAGACACTGAAAGAGGTAAAGTTACAAGCAAGGCTTAACCTGGTAGCTTGACTGTCTGTTTGCATGTTTGTTTATAGGGGTGTGACCTCCACTGTTTCTCTGTAATGACCCAGGAACTAAGTTCTAGGGCGCTTGGCCTGGTAACTTTATCTTGTTCATCTTTCCATGCCCAGTAAGTGAATATTTGGGATAGGTGTTTTGACAATTTTCATGCTATGACCAAGGGACTGGTTCTTAGGTTCTTGGCCTGACCCCAGAATCAATCCTGTTAGCACGACTGTGTTGGTCTCGTCACGCAGAATAAGCAAGAATACGGTTTTCAGATGGAAATCTCAAACTATTTCTAAGCTATTGCACCTCACATAAGCCCCCATATTTATACATTTAGTATCATTACCACCTCAGGATGCTTCTATCAATCACTGACGATAAGTATCTAAAGCTAATATTCTGCTCTCCCCCTCAGCTCCTCCATCTGTATCCACAACACTGTAAAGATTTTCCAGTCAAATTTGGTGAAATTCCTGCCATGAAATTTTCCATATAGGTTACAGCCTAAGGGAAGTAACTCTAGCTGATATACGTTACAGCCTAAGGGAAGTAACTCTAGCTGATATGTTACAGCCTAAGGGAAGTAAGTCTAGCTGATATATGGCCTCAGACCACAATTAATTCTACTATATGTTATACCAAAGGAAATAAATTATTAAAATATTTTAAAACTTTGCACAGGGCCTGGTTCCTATTTCATATTGTAGATCTATTCAAACTGAATGTACGGTGAGCTGGAAAGTACCTCATGACCGGCATTTAAGAAAGATAATTTTATTTGAATGTCACTACCCTGCATGTAAAGGGGAAAATACTAAAAATCACAAAATATCACTGCGCAAGCCTCATCACTCATTGTGTCCTGCTGCCAAGACAAACTTGGAAACTGTGTCAAATAAAATTTAATCACTAGAATAGATATTGTTGAACAATTCTATGTAAAAAACCTGTACATATCTGTCATAATTCAGACAGGAAAAATTATTTAGTAACCCACCTGAAATGTCCTTATGCACTACATTCGTGTACAACGACCCGGAAGTGTTATTGTGGTCTGAGGCC